AGCCTGAACCTTCCACCGGAACCTATACACTTGATGCAGATGATGAGCTGTGAACAGCCTTTCTTTATGCCGTTAAGGAAACCCAAGTTAAACGAACTCTGATTAGTTGATTAATCAAATTGAAGCAAGGTGCCAGTAAAGCTAAATTTAACTGTGGTCTGTTCTAGATTCCAAAGTGCACATTTCCTCTTTTTTAGTTTTTTTTCCAACTCAGTGTAATTGGATTGTTGAGTCTGAGTGATAGGTATATGAAGAGTTTATCACACTTCTTTTGTGCACATCTGAAATTTTTCATAATAAAAATCTAAACGGGGCCAGGTGCGGTGGCTCACGCCTGTAATCCCAACACTTTGGGAGGCCAAGGCGGGCAGATCACAAGGTCAAGAGTTGGAGACCAACCTGACCAACATGGTGAAACCCTGTCTCTTCTAAAAATACAAAAATTAGCCGGGCGTAGTGGCACATGCCTGTGGTCCCAGCTACTTGGGAGGTTGAGGCAGGAGTATTGCTTAAACCCAGGAGGCGGAAGTTGCAGTGAGCCAGGATTGCACCACTGCACTCCAGCCTGGCAACAGAGCAGGACTCCGCCTCTAAATAAGTAAATAAATAAACAAACAAACAAATAAAAAAAAACTAAAAATACAAAATTTAGCCTGGCATGGTGGTGCGTGCCTGTAGTCCCAGCTACTCAAGAGGCTGAAGCAGGAGAATCACTTGAACCCAGAGGCTGAGGTTGCAGTGAGCCAAGATTGCACCACTGTACTGCAGGCTGGGTGAGACTGTGTCAAAAAGAAAAAAAAACCTAAAAGGAAACAATCTCTCTCTGTTTCTTTCCTTTCCTTTCAGCACCACCCCCGCCTCAGTAACTAGCCTGACTTGATTACTTGATGAGTGCTTGTCTACAATGTAACTCCTAAACTTCCTGCTATGAGAGACTTGCCTGGACTCCTGAAACATGCTTTTTTGGAGGAAATCAGGTGATATGAGACATTTAACTATGCTCTGAAGTTGCAAATGACATCATCAGTGAATTAGTTTTCTTTTTGCTTCTTTTCTTTGTTCTTCTAACCATATGCGTATGTAAATGTGTGCATGTGTATACCCTGAGAGTTTCTGCGCAGGGAGGAAGTGGTTCAATCTGCTTCTCTCTGAGCAGCCCTTGGCTTTTACAATAAAGAAATGACTCTGCCTTGTTTCTGATTCAGATGCAGCGTGAGGCTTGCTTTCATCCATGAGGTCTAAATTTAAACGCCTGTCTTCTCCCCCTATAAAACTTAATCCTCTTTCTCCATAACACTGTAGAAAAAAAAAAAAACAAAACTTGGCTTTACGTGGTGTTTAGCTTAGATCTGTAAGAGGAGCTTAAGTGTTGATTACAAGAAACACCAAGAGAATGAAAACTAGCTTGGAAACCTGATGTAGCTCAGAAAACTCCATATGACAAAGACACCACGCAGCGTATGTAGGCATCCAGGTTAGAAGGGCAGTGCACGGAAGCCTAATTGGTCAAGGCCATTGTCATGTTCCATCTGAGGACTGACTCAGTCCTCTCATTCCTTCAACCATAACTTCTATTCCTTTCCACACCTCTCCCACTGCTGTCTTCATTTCAGCAGAAAAAGACTATCTCTCTTGACCAAAATATAAGGCCCACAATAGTATCATTTTGCACATTTCACCCACCTTGTTTAAATTTTTATTTTGATATACAGTCGTCCCTGGATATCCGTAGTGGATGGGTTCCAGGACCTCCCTCCGATACCAAAATCCATGGATGTGCAAGTCCCTGATAAAAAATGGAGTAGTATTTGCATACAACCTATGCACATTTTCCCATATACAGAACATTAAATAATCTCTAGATTATTTATAATACCTAATAAAGTATAAAGGCTATATAAATAGTTGTCACATTGCATTGTTTAGGGAACAATGACAAGGGAAAAAAAAGTCTGCACATGTTCACCACAGACACAATAAAAAAATTTCTTTTTCTTTCTTTTTTTTTTTTTTGAGACGGAGTTTCGCTCTTGTTACCCAGGCTGGAGTGCAATGGCATGATCTCGGCTCACCGCAACCTCCGCCTCCT